TTCGTCAAATAAAAAATAATTTAGTACAATAATAGCTCTGCTGAACAGTGTGCGAATGGGTAATTTTCGGCTTGGTTACAATAAAAATTGTTATTCTTTACATATAATCATAATCTCAGCCTCATCTCTGATCATTAACAAACACAAACAAGGAGCTTGCACCGAATTCGAGGTCGCCAACGTATACCATAGGTGATTATGATGTCATTTCCGGTTTTCGAAGGCATTGAGTAAAACTGAATGATATAACAGCTCGCTCAAACTACCTCCACAATGTCAAATCATCAGACTCTTCCATCTTCGACCACTAGTGCCTTTTTGTAAAATTCGGCATTATTTTTTTGTAAAAGCCTCGCCTTCAAGGGAGCTGGGGAGCCTATGATTTGAATTTTTTAGGATTGGTGCGCAAAATTGTAACTGTTTAACTATAGCTTATGGCTCAGGAGCACTTGCTGAGCATATTTAATTAGGTTGTTACACAAGTTCTGTTACACTTTTTCCATCTTTCTGGAAAATCCTGGAAAACTTTTTTGAAGACATGAGGTACAGTAGATATCTGTGCAATGCTTTTACGGCACTTTGATCTCCATTCTTCATTCTTTGAAAGTTCTCTCATTTTTCTTTTATAAATTTTTAGACTTTTTCATGGATTTTCCGGAGTACGAGTAGTAATACAGAAGGCACTTTGGAAGGTTCAGCTTCTCAATAACGCAAGTTGGAAACTTGCCAAAATTGTTCCAAAAAAATTTTGATGGTTATATTCTTCATATGCAACATGTCTATGTCTATGTCCACAACATTATTTAAATTTGAAATAAGGTAAAAATCACTTGAGGTAGTTATGAGGACTATTCCTGGTGAGTGTAACGAGACTTATGTGATAACCAAATGAATTTTTAAGAAAAAGTGTAGGGCACATGGGAGTTATCTCACATGGTTTCTGGACTTTTTTAGAGGGATTAACCCTAGACCTAAAAAAAGATATTTCTTTCTTTACCGTATTCTTATCAGTGACAGTTGTTACAGATAACGCTGAAACACTTCAAAGAATAAAGTAAAGGCGGTCCTCGGACCACTTGACGATTATACAGAGTGTCCCAAAAAATAATAATTTTCTACTAATGATGTCTTTCGAAAAGCTTTAAAGGCCGGGCATACTTCACGCGATCTCAGTCGCTACGCGTTTTGGCAATTCGCCAGAAGTCTTCATATCCTACACTAGGAAAATGCACATGCACAGTGTATATAACTTATGTGGATTGTTAAAATGCCCTATCCTGTGTGCATTTAAAATGTGATTACAGTGAGTTATGGACAGTTGGAATATTGCCAAATCGGGTCGCGAATGAAATCGCGTGAAGTATGCCCGGCCTTTTAGGTAACATTTCATAGAGTTTGCTTCATTAGTATAGCATGGTGCGAATCAAAAATCTCACTTTATTGTTGTAGGATTACGGTAGGAATTTTAAGGAGGATTTTCAGTAAGTAAGGGTCATAATTTATCCCTAAATCAGAATCAAAGAAGCTGAAAGCTCCTACAATAGGTTAATTAGGGTCACTGTTCAAATAAGTAATTGGCACTTCACGGTAACGCATTTTTCGTAAGTTATGCCACATATATAACAAAAACCAATGTCTGTTACCCTCAAATCCCATAGATAAGAGCGGTTTAATTCACCGGTGAAAAAATGAATTGAAAATTGAAAATTGAATGCAATCACCCCTCAAACATGATGGATGGATAAATAAAATCGGAGAAGAAGTTTAGAAGAAGCTCCGCCCCTCAATTCTAAACCCCGCCCACTTAATAAACAATTCATATAGAAATTCCGAAATTCCGTTAAAATCGCTAGAAATTTCGAAATTCCGTTAAAATCGCTATTTTTCTATATGAATTGTTTATTAAGTGGGCGGGGTTTAGAGTTGAGGGGCGGAGCTTCTTCTAAACTTCTTCTCCGATTTTTATTTATGCATCCATCAAGTTAGAGGGGTGACTGCATTCAATTTTCAATTTTCAATTCAATTTTTTCACCGGTAAATTAAACCGCTCTTATCTATGGGATTTTAGGGTACTCGTCAAAAAATCTAAGTTGAAGCCAGCTCTACAGAATGGTACCTAAAGCTTCTCGAAAGACTTCATTAAACGAGAGTTATTAACATTCAAACAGTAGGCACATCGTTTTGGAACACTCTGTATGTTTTTAGTTTGATAGTCCAAAAGAATATCATTTACATGGCCATCTTGGTTCCTGATAAAATGCTGGATGACAGTTTCAGTGTGCTTTGAAGATTCTGGAAGTTCTCACGAAATTTGCTGAATATGACATATTTCTTCTTTTTTTTTTGAGCTGTGAGATGAGATAACAAAGAATGATGCCAAATTTTTTGTAATAGACACAGAAAAATTACCTTACATATAATCCTCTTATCATTTGACTTCTTGTATTGTACTAGTTGTAAAACTAGACTCCCTATTAACATAATTCAAGCTATTTTGCTCTTCCTAGCATATTTGGGATACTATTTGACAAGGCAAGCTGTATAAAATCGCTCTACTAAAGATCCGCTTTATTCGTAATCCGGGTAAAATTTGAGGCCAAGATCAACAATTTCTGGGTACCTCAAAACGCCTTCCAAAAAATTCTTACGGACCTCCAGTTGGGTCATTATACAATAGACATAAAGTAGTAATCAAAAATGTATGTGAAGGATTTCTTCCTGGGCTCAAAATTTAGAAATCGAAATAGAGAATGCAAATATACCATTTTTTCTTCAGGGTTTTCAAATATTAAACTTGGTATTCTGGATTATCAAAGCACAACAGCTATAAAATTCTGAACTTTTACTTACTAAAGTTTGTACCATACAATGACATATGTGGGAGGAGCTGGGGGTGGAGTTTACCATTTTTGGATTAACTCCTTTTCTCGCTTTCTATGCTTGGAAAAAAGCCAGTAGAGCCATATTTGAGTACAACTATGTTTCTGTTGTGTAATGACCAAGCTCAAGGTCCTGAGGATTTTTCTTTGTAAAAATTCACCCCCTTGAATGATAAATTTTTTTCGATTTTGGTCCCAAACTTTACTTGGAGGTATGACTTAGAGAGTAGAGGACTATATGTCGCCGAAATTTGAGGGTCCCGCACGGACACTGAAGCAGATATTTAGCCTGCCTGTGCATGTATTGGAATGTGTATTTGTTGCAGATATCTGGCGGGACCTCCCACTTCCGGCGACATATAGTCCCTTACCCTGACCTAGGCAGACCTTTTGTGGCTCGCTCTACCGAACAATAACCTAATTTGTGAGGAAAACAAAAACAGCTTGATTTATCTAGAAAGGAGTTTACTTTTGGGGCAACCTGATATTACACCAGTCACAATTTTGCAATCCCGCTCTCGATGTTGTCTTAGCCTTTTCGCGATTTCTATTTAAAAAGTCTTAGCAAAGTGTCGCATGTCGCTGGTGTTTGAGCAGACCCAACCGAAAAACGTTTTGGAATTGCACTTTCGTTCCAGCGTATGTTTAGATTCTTTTCAGAATGTAACAGTACTGTCTCTTTGCATTCGTGCGCACTCAATTTATATTTGCATGTGTTACTTGATAGTTTTCCAAAAATATCGCAAAATATCCTATTTCTTGAGGGAAAATTATCAATTTGTAATAGATACGTTTTTTTCAAGTTTTGGCAAACTGTTCTCCGAAAATGGCAATGCCAAATTCTTCAAAAATTCCCGCACTCCAATTCAAAACCGGTAGCTCATATCATGGTTTCACTTCCAAGAAAGTTAGATTATTCTTTTCTTGAACAAGGGTTAAGGAATGCCATTCAATTTCGGCTGAGATCATTAGTATTTTTTACGGTTTTATGTGTTTCCTTCTTTTTGAAATGTACAATGGGTATGGCTATGCAGAAAGAAAGTTCAAATATTCGAATGTTCTCATTTGCCCAAGTTATGCTTTAAAATTTCTACAAAAACCTTTGTTATTTAAGTTTTGCTTTGATCTTTCCAAAAATTAATGTCTCATTCACCAACAAATTACGAATCTTTTTCGTGCGAGCTGAAAATCTGGAACTGTTAAATCTATATATAAAGAATCGTTGTGCCTATTCAAAAAGGTGAAATTACTGGAAGTCGCGCGGTCCCGGAGCGAAAGCGGCTGCAAATCTAGCATCTTTACGACTATTGGTTCACTAGTTGAAAAAAAAATATGGTACTTTGCAGAAATTATATGTTGTGTATATTAATACCGCTATCTAACAACCAGTGGCGTATCCATTCCGTTCTGGGGAAGGAAGGGGGGGGGACACTACAAAATTTTTTTGATGTTATCAAGAATTTTGAGGGTTCATAACCCCGAAATTTTATAAAAAGCTGATGCGACGGCAACCAAGCCCCCGAAAATTTTTTCTGCAAAGCTGAATTTAACTTTTAAAAAATTAAAAAAATTATTCTAATTATTTACAAGTACAAACAAGTGCTTGCACATTTTTATAACTCCTATAACAATTTCTTGGTGTGTAGATTTTACAAAAAAAATTCTTCAAAATAAAAAACAAAGTTGGTAACAACAAACTTGCGACAGAATCGTGACATTTTTTCTTTTGAAACAAAGCGTTGTGGTGGCTTTTAGACCACTGAAAGATTCTTTTTACAAGTTTGTATTGAGTAATTAGTCATAGCAAACATGACTTAGGTGTCCGCTGATACCTCTGCGCAAACACATTGTGAACATAAAAGAAATAGAAGAAAGCATTGTTTCTGTTTCTCCTGCCAACTCAGCAAATGCGTAAAATTTCTATGCTTAATCCAGTAATTCATATCTTTGCTTTTTTATTCATGAAATCACTATCAGGATAGCTATTTTCAGCGTTATAGCTCTTTGGTCAACCCTACCGTAACTCACAAGTATATCCTTTTATCAACTCAAAAATGGAATATTTCGTCTGTATCATAATAGAAATTGCGTCCATATTCGTAATCATATTGAAAAATTTCAGTTTGAAACAATTTTTGCATGCTAATTGACTACAACTACCTCATATCACGATGGTCAAAGTAAATGCGGTAAGTTATTACTCAATATGGATTTTTCTTCCATTTTGAAAAAATGATTTTAGGCAGAGATGGATCTGAAACCAAAATCGGCCCCTACAGTGGGTGGTTTTGTGTATGTGTTGGCATTTGCAGCTGTTATGGGTGAGTTTATTTTATATGGAAAAAGCAAAAGCTGTGATATCAGATGCGTTTGCGAATAGATTCACAGTCTGTGTCAATGAAGAGTTCCTTTGCAATCAGCCTCGCGAATGCCCTGCGTAGCGTTTGCGGTTTAGCATACAGCAAGAACGTCTTTCTTCATAAGCATTTCTAAAGTTGTTAGGTCTATTTTTAATATATAAAGAATCGTTAGCCCAATTCAAAAACCTTCCAGTAGCGGGAAACAGCGGCGTGTCCCGAAGCGAACGCTCTTCCAAATAGCACCTGTAGATTACTGGTTCACTAGTGTGAAGAAAGAAAGAGTAAAAAAGAGTGCAGCATTCGAGCGAGATCCGGTCTTCCAAGATATTGAGAACTGGCAAAATGCCCATCACGCGCGCGACTGTGCGGCAAGACCTTCGCAGCGCGGATGCTCGAATGAAAAGGGAACGCGCATTTGACACAGACCGTAAACAGGGAAATACACTTGTATATTTGCATAAAATGAAACCTTGCGAATTAACCAAAAAATAAGAAGCCGAGTCTCTGCCACTTACATGCTCAGGCTGCAATTCAGCCTTCTTTTCAATTCTTACAAATTTTTCATTCAGGTGGATTTCTTTTCGGATATAACACCGGTGTGATCTCCGCTGTAATGTTGTTCCTGCCGCGAAATGTACATCTTGCACCTCTCAATGCATTGTGGATACAGATCATAACCAGCATGACTAGTGGTAAGTATTAGCTCTTGTAGGACAACAAAAAGCGGGTTTTTCCAAAAAATTCTGTATTTGGGGCGGGGCGGGAGCGGAGCATTTTCGTACAGCGCACTACATAATTCTTCAAGGCCAAGAAGGCACAAAAATATTTTTGCATTAGGTAGTGAAAAAACAAAACTGGAGCAACTTCCGACAGGGTAATATGCGACAAACAGGTGATAAGATGGCTAAACTTCCAAAATTCAATTTTTGTACATTTTCAAGCAGAAATTTTCGCTTTATGCGCAATATTTCAGCACTTGCAATCGTCGGTGCTCTGCTGTCCGCAAAAGGATCAGATTCTTTTGGCCGAAAAAAGACTATAATCGCAGCCAGCATTCTTTTCATTATCGGATCGGTAGGATCAGCATTATCATGGCACAAAATCACCCTTCTTATAGCTCAAGCCATTCTTGGTGTGGCAATAGGTAAGAAACTTTAGAAAAAAATTTTTGAAGATAAATGTACCGTAACCTTCCAGGTCTTGCTTCGATGGTTGTGCCTGTATACATTGGAGAAGCTTCACCATCACATATTCGTGGTCGCCTTGTCACTGGATTCCAGTTGATGATTACTGTAGGACTTGTGATAGCTAACATAGTTGGAGGAGGGTTCAGCTACGTCGATCCTGTGAACGTCGGCTGGAGGTAATTTTTCAGGGTATTTTTTTCACTTCTAAAAGCATACTCCATCCAAATTGATTGGTGAGATTTTTAGCTGGGGCTTCAAACTAAGCAGTCGCCCAAGTCCCGCTGCAAAAAAGTTCGTTCTAAAGCGAGAAAAAGCTCCAGAAGGTAGAAGTGGCCCAGGTAGCTCCGCCCATCAACGTGGGTTGGGTGGTCTGAAGGCAAAATGTTCTGAATCAATCTTTAATATGTTAGAGTTATCACAAATTGCTCCTCATTCTGATTAACAGATTTTTGACTTTTCTGTCTACCGTGAAGGTCGCTTTCGAGAGCATCATTCTCAGACCACCCATATTGATGGGCGGAGCCACCTGGGCTTCTTCTATCTTCTAAAGCTATTTTCTTGCATCGGAAATCATCTTTCGCAGCGGGAGTTGGACGATCACGTAATTAGGGGTTCCGCTATCATACAGCATCAAAAACTCAGAATCATCATTATTTGGGGGGGGGGGGAGGGGTGCCCATGAAGCGCCAAATTTACCCCTGTTTCAGGTTGATGTTCGGTTGTGCAGCAATACCAGCCGTATTCCAGCTTGTTTCATTCTTCTTCTTACCTGAAAGTCCAAGATGGCTTTACGACCACTGCAGACAAATCGAAACGGAAGAGGTAAGGTTTTTTCCAGCATGCAAAAAATTTCCTCAATAAACTGGCCCCTACAGGTTCTGAGAAAAATCTACGGTGGTGATGAAGAATGGGTCAAGTACGAGATGTCAGAGATCAAGAAAGGATATGACCAAGAGCAAGCAAACAAGAGCGATTCTCCGGGTATGTCTTCATGTTTTTGGCTATTTATCGAATAAGGCGTCTTAGCAGTCCCAAAGAAGGAGGTGGAAAAAATTGAAAGATTTTTTTTGTGCTTGAAAACCCCAAGTTTTTATTTTCCCTCCAAGTGTAATTATTTTCAGTCATTTGGCGTATACTTCGAACTCCTCATGTTCGTAAAGCTCTCTTCGTTGGAAGCATGCTTCAGTGCTTCCAGCAACTTTCAGGAATCAATACCATCATGTAATAAACTTTTATGCTTTTTCTTCGCTATAAATTCCGATCATTCCCTTTTTAGGTATTATACAGGCCATATTATTCGAAGTTCAGGCGTGAAAGACGAACATACCACAATTTGGATCTCTGTTGGAACAGCAGGTATGTCTTTAGCTCATCTTTAGTACCTTTTAGCAAGTCGAGATTCCCTTGTTTAGCTGTCAACTTCCTTGGCACCTTCATCCCGATGGCTTTGATTGAACGTATGGGCCGAAGGGCATTGTTCCTTCTTTCAGTCGCTGGCGTCCTTATTGCGCTATTAGCCATGGGTACCACCTTTGTGTTTATAAATAAAGTAAGTTGACGGTGATAGGACCCATAAGTGGCTCTTTCAAAAAATTGGTATTCTAGAATTCTGCTGTATCGCTCCAAGATGAAAGCTTCTTGAACGGCACAGTGGATGAGATTCAGCGCCGATGTATGGCGATCAGGTATTTTCAGTTTGCTAAACTCGTCTGATTATTTTTTTATTGCTACTTTCCCACCGCCCATCCAATTTGAGAGATGAGATTTTGATGCCATATAATAGGGGGGCCCTTGATTAAGCGATCGCCCAAGTCTCGCTGCAGAAGATTAACTCCAAAGCGAGAAAAGTGCTCCAGAAGATAGAAACGGTCAGGCTGACTCCGCCCACCGATCGACGGGTGGTCTGAGGATAACAAGTCCAAATTGAGCTCTAATAAATCTGGATTGATCAAAAGTCGCCCCATATTCTGATCATTATGATCAGCAAATTTGACACCTTCCGCCTACCCGCCCAATTTTAGACTCTTCAGACCACCCATGTTGATGAGCAGAGCTAACCTGGTTGCTTCTATAGAGCGTTTTTCTCGTCTTGCAATTCATCTTTTGCAGCCAAACTTCGGTAATTGCTTAGCTAGGGTCCCCGCTATTACATAACATCAGGATTTCATTACACTTAAATCGGGTGGAAATATAATTTCCCGTTTCTTTGTTATAGCTACATTTAACAGTTTTCTTCCAGCAATTGCGACAGCTGTACACTCACTGATGAGTGTGGTTTTTGCCAAAAAACAGGTACCAACGAGGGATACTGTATGAAGACGGGCAGTGTAGACTCTGGTTCATTGGCTGCATATGGGCAATGTAGTGTTCCCGAGCCCGGTTAGTTTATCCCATTAGACTTTATGGCTGCAAGGTTTGGAAATTATCTATCCTGATTTTTCAGTGGGATATGAATGGGATGACCATTCGTGCAAAACGAAGCTAACCATTGTCTTCATCATTCTTATGCTATTCTACCTCCTTGCTTTCTCTAGCGGTAGGCGTTTCGTTCACAGTAACGTCACTGCGTTCTCAAATGCTTTACCTATTTCAGGGTACGCGCCGCTTCCTTGGGTGGTGAATGCCGAGTTCTATCCGCTTTGGGCAAGAAGTACATGCGTATCCATCTCAACCATGACTAACTGGATAGTAAACTTGTTAATTTCACTGACATTCATCAGTTTGAGCCAGGGTCTGCAGAAATACGGTATGGTCCCAAAATTTATAGTAACAAAAGTAATGAGCCAACTTTTCCTGTATTTCAGGTGCCTACTTCCTTTATGCGGCATTTACCCTTGTTGCATGGTTATTCATCTACTTCCTCCTGCCAGAAACGCGCGGATACTCCATCGAAGAAGTTGAAAGGCTCTTCATGAGCAAAGAAGAAAGAGAGCGTACCGGCTCTAAAAAGAGTACTATTGACAAGATCAAGCCTGCTGGAGTCACCGTAGTACAATTGAACTAGGTAAAGATAGTGATATTAATAACATAGGTAATGCTCATGTGAATGTAAAAAGAATTTTTTTTATTGAAAATATCAACCAGACATCAATGATCTGCCTTTTTTATTACCGCATATCTTGCTTCACTGATACCTTGTTAAAAGATAAATCTGTATGAATCTCACAATACTGAAAGTAACCCGATTGACTAAGAGCTTTATTAAAGTAGTTTTCAAAAAGAGGACAGATCTAAATTTATGAGTATATTGATAAATTAGAGTTTGAGATATTTCCATGTTAATTTATTATTGTGTATTGTTTCAACATTTTGTCGTGTATATAAAATTGAACATCGTGTACAAGTTGCTATACAGTATGCTCACTCCCTCGTTTCTTCAAACGACCTCACTAGAGTACCTTGAATTATACTAGTTGATCTACTAAAGTCACTCCATTTACAGCATTACGCCCTAGGCATATCATACCTACCACAATTTCAGGGCCGCATGCTTTAAAGGCAGCGTCCAGGTAAGATCCATCCACCCAGATTAGCATATAGTTGTAAAGAGGGGCCCATGAGTATCCGATCTGCGTTGGTCCGATCCTTTGACGTGCCCTCTAAAAGGAGATATGGGCCTGTGATACGTATCACAAGCCGCCCCTTCGTATCACAAACCACCCCTGAGGACGAGTGCTTACGCAGGTGTGCGGTTGCATTGCAGTTGCATTGCAGTTGCACTGCACACTGCATTGCAACTGCATCCGTGCAGTTGCAGCTCCTCCCGCATGACGATGAGGATGAGCAATTCGAAACTCGTTCGCTCCTTGAAGAGAGGGTCCCCAAGAACCGGGTTTTTTGGGAGTTTTGAACAATTTGGACTTTACAACTGTAATCAGGGCCACGGAAAGGCCCCAGAACGGCAGAAACATGAGAGGCGAAATTTTGCCCGGACGCTGCCTTCATTATCCCCCCCCCCCCCAGAGAGGGGATTGCAGCTTAAAACAAAACTTCATATCCTGAAGCTCCAAATATCTGGATTTCACGCCGTATATCCTATCCGTAGGTATTCTCACCATCCTTCACTATGAGCATAGATGCGATAGGTGGAGAGATTTCTCTGACTCCCTTCACCTTAGGGCCGGCATCCGGCTGACCGCCTTCACCTGAGGTTGAGACTAGAATCAGGGCATAACGGCAGAATTAAAAAGCTGTTACAATGACACTTTTTTCTTAGAAAGGAAACGCCAGCTGCTTTTCTTCTCTAACATCAAGACTGCAAGAGATTATAGAATCAACAGCGTTTTGTTGAAAAAAAAAACGCATGCTCGAGACCTTCTGCGCACTCAAAGTGGCGTTACTAATGAAACATAATCAAAAATTAAAAGCATGTCTGATTCTTTGAATAATTAACATTGTATCAACGAACACACAATGTCTCAAGAAAGGGTTGAGCAAGGGTAGAAAATTTGGACTACTTAGTAATAAATGCATGTTTGCTGACAGTAATCGTACCATATCTCCTTTCACTAGAGAGGATAATAACAAATAAATAAGTAGTCGGGTTACTCGTTTTTCAAGCTTTCGAATCATATATAAAAGTTCGAAAAAGACCTTTTTGCTTTGAAAGGATAATTATGCGAAAATGGCTAATATTGTAGCTAGATAATAGCTATTTTAGCTAGCTTTTTCAATATTACATCTGTTTCCCGCATTTACAACTGCTTAAGTTGAATAATCTAAGAGCACTTTTGCTGCAAGCAGGGGGCATGCAGACTCCACCGAGCATCTGCACTGATATTCCTACACGGTCCACAGGCTTAACCCCTTTCCATTCACGGAGCTGGACTCGAGCTTTTGGGATGTTTTGTTATTTTCTTTACTGTTCAAGCTCTAAGTATTCGTTTTTTGTTTCAAATATGGCACGCCTTGTGCGTATTGAATAAATAAATAAATAAATAAATAAATAAATAAATAAATAAATAAATAAATAAATAAATAAATAAAACTGTTCAAAAAAAGCTAGGAGAAAAAACGGTCTACATCGATTTCTCGTATTCTTAGCTATCGAATTGTATACAAAGTGTTGGTGCACGAAGCTTTTACAGTCCAAAAAAGTCGCTCCGGCAACCCATAGAAAGCGGAGGGGGTGCAGGAGTTTCTAGCACCCTTCCTCGTACCAACTTCGCACCAGCATTCGCACTCAGAAGGGTTGTAGCACCCTCCGCACCTCAGAGGTCAGGCTCCGCCCATTGTTCCACCCATTTACTGGTCTCATTGTGAGGTATGCAAGCAGCGAGAGCATAGATTCAGGTATCAAGGTAATAAAGGAGAAAACTGGAACAAAACAGACATAGTTATCATTTCTCAAGTGAGGCGGCTTGCAAACTTTTGCTACGCCATCCTTTTACAAAAGAGCATTTAAACATTGTTTTTAGGAGAAAATCGCACAGCATTTCTTGAATAGAAAAGCCGGTCATTCGAAAGAGGGTGAGTTGATCAATTGTACATTACTGGCTATCTGATTGAAGTGATTTAGCATCAGGAGTTTGAGAAGCCAATTACCTTCTCATCATTAGAAGGACCTAATTTTGACAAAAAATCCAAGTTTGCGAATAAGCAACTTAACGCTTTCTCAAGAGTTGGGATATCTGAACACATATACTTTTCCATTTCCATCTGCCATCATATATTCGAATGCATTTTTCATTCCAAGTACTCTAATGATCAATAAGCTCCGAATTAAAAAGAAATTTTCAAGTGTAGTACTTCCTACGTCGATGTATCAGGTTGTTGCATAAGTTCTGTCCGACTTGAATTTTTTGAGTTCAAAATGTCATAACTTCTTTCAAAGTCTACTTTTTTCCAAGATCTTAGTTTCCATGTGTTAAGCAATTCCTTGGCTATCAGATACATATTAGAACCAGCGAAAATCTTTGTTAATCTTTGTTAATCTTTGTTTTCTCCTAAAAACAATGTTTAAATGCTCTTTTGTAAAAGGATGGCGTAGCAAAAGTTTGCAAGCCGCCTCACTTGAGAAATGATAACTATGTCTGTTTTGTTCCAATTTTCTCCTTTATTACCTTGATACCTGAATCTATGCTCTCGCTGCTTGCATACCTCACAATGAGACCAGTAAATGGGTGGAACAATGGGCGGAGCCTGACCTCTGAGGTGCGGAGGGTGCTACAACCCTTCTGAGTGCGAATGCTGGTGCGAAGTTGGTGCGAGGAAGGGCGCTAGAAACTCCTGCACCCCCTCCGCTTTCTATGGGTTGCCGGAGCGACTTTTTTGGACTGGAAAAGCTTCGTGCACCAACACTTTGTATACAATTCGATAGCTAAGAATACGAGAAATCGACGTAGACCGTTTTTTCTCCTAGCTTTTTTTGAACAGTTTTATTTATTTATTTATTTATCTATTTATTTATTCAATACGCACAAGGCGTGCCATATTTGAAACAAAAAACGAATACTTAGAGCTTGAACAGTAAAGAAAGTAACAAAACATCCCAAAAGCTCGAGTCCAGCTCCGTGAATGGAAAGGGGTTAAGCCTGTGGACCGTGTAGGAATATCAGTGCAGATGCTCGGTGGAGGTGGAGTCTGTCCCATGCCCCCTGCCTGCAGCAAAAGTGCTCTTAGATTATTCAACTTAAGCAGTTGTAAATGCGGGGAACAGATGTAATATTGAAAAAGCTAGCTACAATAGCTATTATCTAGCTACAATATCAGCCATTTTCGCATAATTATCCTTTCAAAGCAAAAAGGTCTTTTTCGAACTTTTATATATGATTCGAAAGCTTGAAAAACGAGTAACCCGACTACTTATTTATTTGTTATTATTCTCTCTAGTGAAAGGAGATATGGTACGATTACTGTCAGCAAACATGCATTTATTACTAAGTAGTCCAAATTTTCTACACTTGCTCAACCCTTTCTTGAGACATTGTGTGTTCGTTGATACAATGTTAATTATTCAAAGAATCAGACATGCTTTTAATTTTTGATTATTTTTCATTAGTAACGCCACTTTGAGTGCGCAGAAGGTCTCGAGCATGCGTTTTTTTTTTCAACAAAACGCTGTTGATTCTATAATCTCTTGCAATCTTGATGTTAGAGAAGAAGAGCAGCTGGCGTTTCCTTTCTAAGAAAAAAGTGTCATTGTAACAGCTTTTTAATTCTGCCGTTATGCCCTGATTCTAGTCTCAACCTCAGGCATACATGTGAAAAGGCGATAATGTGTTCTTACCCCCTTCACCCCAGGGCCGGAACCCAGCTGACCCCCTTCACCCACGGCCGATGAGGAAGTGGAAAAAGTGAGACTAATACATTAACATTTTAAGCAAAATTATAAAACTATCCACATTATTAAAATTAAATTTAGTAATATTTTACTTCCTAACATCATTAATATGATCGTCAAAAACCTATTTGCAGGCTCACTGAGAAGTACATCGGAAATTTGCCGCCTATTTTCACTTCCAGAGAACGATGAAAAAGCCTGGAGAAAAATTTACGTGTGAAGCCTTTGTGTATATACGTCAATGAAGTTATTACTCACGTATTTGCAGTACTCCGCGTTGATACCACTGCTT